ACACTATTTGATAACATTTAGGGGAGCTTAGAAACATTTAGAGGAGCTTAGAAACATTTAGGGAATCAGCTTTAAGCTCCCTTTTGCACCATTTGATAACATTTAGGGAATCACTTCAAGCTCCATTTTGCATCATTTGATAACATTTAGGGAATCATCTCCAATAACACAGGTTAAGGAATCACATTCAATAACAGGTATCATAATCACCAATAACACAAGTATCGGAATCACCTTCAATAACAAAGGTTAAGGAATCACCTTCAATAACACATAACACAGGTCAGGTTAAGGAATCACATTCAATAACACATAACACAAGTTTTACACCATTTGATAACATTTAGGGAATCATCTTTAATAACACAGCTTAGGGAATCACTTTCAATAACACAAGTTAGGGAATCATATAGGTTAGGGAATCACCTTCAATAAATCATATAGTTACAGAATCAGTTAGGGAATCATATAGGGTAGGGAATCACCTTCAATAAATCATACAGTTACAGAATCACTTTCAATAACAGGTTTGGGAATCACTTTCTCACCTTCAATAGCAGGTTAGGGAATCACTCTCAATAACACAGGTTAGGGAATCGCCTTCAATAACCCAGGTTAAGGAATCACCTTCAATAACCCAGGTCGGGAATCACTTTCAATAATAGTACCGGTTAGGGAATCACCTTCAATAATACAACACAGGTTTTGCACCATTTTTGTACCATTTGATAACATGTACGGAATCACTTTCAATAACACAGGTTAGGGAATCACCTTCAATAACACAGGTTAGGGAATCACCTTCAAGATTCCCCAACACAGAGGGAATCACTTTCAATAACACATGTTTGATTCTCTAACGTTCACGCGTGTTTTGTACCATTTTTATACCATTTGATAACATTTAGGGAATCACATTCGTTGTCAACATTTAGAGAATCACTTTCAATAACACAAGTTACCTTTCCTTTAATAACATCCTTTAATAATAGAGCATCTTTTGCTCCCCTTTTGCACCATTTGATAACATTTAGGGAATCACTGTCAATAACACAGGTTAGGGAATCACCTTTATTAATTTTTTTGCAACAAAAAATTTCAAGCCATGAAGTAGAGCCAAAAATTCAACATGTTTAGTTGTTTTCTCCCCCTTTAATAATACAAGTACTTCAATTTTTTGCAACACAAATTTTCAAACCATGAAGTAGAGCCAGGAATTCAACATGTTAAGCTGTTTTCTCCCCTAATGCACCATGAAGTAGAGCCAGGAAATCAACATGTTTAGCTGTTTTTTCCCCAAATGCAGAATTTTATCTTCCCAATCCCTTACCTATTTTCTCCCCAAATGCATAATTTTACCTTCCCAATTCCTTACCACTCTATCCAATCTAGCTAATCTATGGTTTCATTGCTAACTATAAGTTAAGTTTATAAACGCGCTTCATACCCATCTCCCCTGGCGCATGATCTTTTCAAAGGGCAAGAATCCTCTCAAAGGGCAAATTTATTCCATCAAAAACTCTTTTGTTATTTTCCTTCCATATTTCTCACAAGATCACACCTTGTGCAATTTGCCACATCGCCAAACCAGTTTGCCGCAAGATAGTTACTAAGTTTGAAGTGATACCTGTCATATCCAGAGGTATAACCAAAGCTATCGTGTAATCTACCGGATCACCAAACCAGTTTGCTGCAAAAAAAGATAGTGACAAGTTTGAAATGATACCTATTATTTCGGGAGGTATAATCAAAGCGATCCCAAGCTGTAACCGGCGCCAAGATTTAATTTTAAAGGTATAAACATAATGGAGAAACAAATGAGCACCTATTTTACCATCTAGACAGATATTCGGCATAATCTTCCCTATTTCCATGAAATTATCGATAGTTAAAACTTTATCTTGAACAACGAACCATAAAAAACTTGCTCAAAGGCATAAACTTCCCTATTTTCATGAAACTATCAATAGTTAAAACTTTATCTTGAACAACCAACCATAAAAAACTGGCACTTTGAGCGGTAAAGCCACTTCTAAATTTTCGCAACCACTTATCATCTCCATGGATCATGAAAAAACAAATGATAAATACACTTAACCAAAAATTTCTCATCTACATCAATATCTCAAACTACTCATAAGCAGCATTATGAGGGATATATACTTCATTAAGTAACGACAACATACCAGAAAACTCAGAAAATAGGTCATCCGAAATCCTATTGTAAGGAAGATTAATAATCCACACTAGTGTTTTAAAAAATGGCTAATCGCAACAGACTCGCTCGAGTTGACACGGGAATCGGGCAGCCAGTGTCGAATCCAGTGTAATATAGGTAATTGAACGTGCCTAGAGAAGAATCATTGGTTCTTAGTGATATTCTACAGTGAATCAAGCGAGTCGACATAGTGACACGGTTGCTATAGTGGCTTTCACCAAGAAAACAAATTTTTCCACAAGAAAAAGCTGTAAAAATTCTGCGTTTTTTTATCAATAATGGAGAGAATAAATTTTTAAGTCTATAAAATAACGATTGGGCTTGGATCGAACCTAAGAAACAAATTTTCGTGAAGAAATTTGGGGATTTTTTAGTGGAATAGGGTTTTCTGCCAAAAGTCGATTTATGTGGCTGTTCTTTATTAATTTGATCTTTTTTTTTTGCTGAGAGATTCTCGTAGAACAAGCTTTCATTAAAACCAAGTATGATTAATTTTTGCTTTGTATTTTAATTTTACGACTTTTGTTGTTTGAGCTCATATTCTTCCCCTTTTCACCAAAAACTTCATCAAAATTCATCAAAATTGGTTTTTTTATAAATAATGGAGAGGAATCACTATTTAGGTCTCTAAAACATCGCTTGGAATTAGTTTGGTATGAGTAGATATTCTCTTACCTCTTTCCTGTCCATTGGGAGGTACATCAATGGGACTGTTTCGGCAGTTTAGGAAATCACTTTCCCATTGGGCACCAATAGGACTTTTTTTTTGTTGAAGACGTTGTATGGGAAAACAAAAAGGACCCGATCTCTAATGATGGTTTGGTATGGGTAGATATTCTCTTGTCTTGTGATATAAAAAAATAAGAAGATTAACAATATAATAATAATAATGATGATATTAGTAATAAAAAATAAAAATAAAAATAAATATTATTCATAACAAATAAAATATCAATAATTTTTTTATGATAAATAAGAATTAATTTATATTAATCATAACTATTCAAATCTTGTGTTTGCAAGAGAGGAATTCAAACGACCCAATAACGGATGATAATTACTTGCGTCAATGCTATCTATGACATATCTGTGTCATTACAACAAAATTGATATGTTTGTCCTCACGAAATAGTTTTGGTATGTTTTATGGCGTAATATGAGGTTGGATACGCCTCTTTTTAGCATGTTTAACTCCAGTTGTAAGATTTGATATTGCTCAAAGATTGCACATTCTAGTCCGCTCTGTGTGCTTTGGATACCCATATAAAATATCATTAATTTCTAATCAATATCAACATTTACCGAATCATTTTTAGAAATAATCACTGACTAATTTAAAAGGGTGTGGTTTGTATAGAGCCGAGGTGCTAGACAATCAAAGTAAAGCACACCTTCAGATAGTGTCAAGAAATGTCGTTTCAATACTGAGAATTCTTTATGATAACGTTAATATATATTTCCATCTTTAATTATAAAATTTAAAGCTTCAAAATATATTAGCTCGAACAAATCTATGAAAACTTGAGAATCTTGAAAATTGATGGTCCAAAAATGTTTTACAAGATGCACTATTTCCAAAACATGAAATCTATTTTTTTCTCTCATGTACATGCATCTTGATGTCGGGATAAGTAATTCAAGGATATTTAGGCATCAAAACAACTTCTTCTAATGAAATTTTTGAGGTGGGCTCTACTTTGATTATTTAGTGCCTTGGCTCTATATAAACTTTTTCCAATTTAATGGATAGTGCTTGTGATCTCCACTTAATTACCAAATAAAAATTTTAAAAAACAAATTGTTTCTAGAAATAACTTTTTATGGAAAAAGAAAGAGTCAAAATATCAACCTCCAAACCGTCGATGAGTCATCTTCTTTAGATTGCTCTCATCCCCCCACTCTCAATCCCCTAACCTAATTGTAGTACAAACAAGGAACTAAGTCTCCATGCATATCCCCGTTCATTTTGGGGTGGCTTTTTTTAGGTGGCCTGGCCCGATATTTCAATTCTTGAGTGATTTACGTACGGACTTTAAAATTACAAAGTAGGTTAGTCATTTTTTTTTTTTTCCAAAATTGGCCCTCGGTTAATTTGAATTTTGATTTTTTTTTATTCAATAGGGAAGTGGCTTAAAGCTTAGGGCATTGCCCTACTAACGGAAAAACTAAAAAAAAAACAAAATTGGGTTGAGAGAGGTAATTTTGAATAAAGTAAAGAGAACGGGTTGATTGACCTTCTTTGTAATTTCCACCTATAAGTGGGACAATTTCGTATTTTGGGTCCGTACATAAATCACTCCTAATTGTTTTATATTTTTCTTTTATTTGGCCAGGATAGGTTTTTCAATTTTTTTTTATTTTTTTATTCTTCGCACTTGGCCTAGGGATGAGAGTCGGGCCAAGGATGACCTAGCCCGTGCCAGACTATAGTGTCTTAGGCTATGGTTACTTTAAACTATAGTCTCTTTGCCTATGCTTACTTTAGCACGATTGGTTGGTGTGAAAATAATTTTGGAAAAATATATTTATATAAAAAATTCCTTCATATGGTTAGCTGTAGGAGTATTTTTAAGTCCTAATGCATCTTTTCACACCAATTGGCAGCTATAAAAATATTCATGTACCTAACCACACTTGAAAAAAAATTTCACATAGAAAATATATTTTTAAAAATACTTTCAAATAAACCAACCGTTCCATATATATATATATATATATATATATATCTCTAT